AAAACTTGATTTCTGGCACACATGCAAAACTGTTTATTTTTATGGATGACATAATTAGACTGAACACCCACAAACAATGAGAATATATTTCAATACATTCTCTGTGCTGCTTAGGTCATGAAGCCAATCATAAACATTAACTGAAACAAAACATTCCTTGGGTAAATCAAAGGAAGTACCACTGAAATAACATAAGCAGCAGAAGAAAGCTTGGAGTCTTTCCACACTAATGTCTTATTATGTGGAACAATATCAAGATCTCAATAGAGCACTTGTCCAACTAGTGCTCCTGGCCAATTTTCTTCTTTCAAAAAATGTAAATGGAATTATGTTTAAGAAAATTCATCCTTTTATAGGATTGAGTCCTTTATTCATTGCAGAGTTTAGAGAGCTTTTAGAGAGTATCAGAGATGACAGAAAATTCCATATAGTCATTATCAGCAGAGTATTATATACTGATACAACATACTGAAGTGCCAGAAAAGAACAGCAGACCTATAAGGTACATTATGAATGCTACAGGGCTTGAAGGTGTGCTGTTGGTAGCTCTGCAGGAAATGGTACTGGCACCATATTGTTTCTGTCCAGCTGTGGAAGCTGGAAACAAAGATAGGTACAGCCTGTCTGCTTTTCTGTTCATCCGGCATGCTATTTGTATCTCTTAAACAGGCATAATCAGCTTTAAAGCATGATTTTCAATTGGTTGGCCTCTTATCAGGATCAGTTTTGCACAGAGATCACTGTTGTACTTTCTGGCAGTGAGAAGAGTTGGTTTGGAATCTCAAAGGATATGATTAACTTTCACTTCTAGTGGCATGGACCACCTTTGTATGACCTATTATAAGATATGTAGAAGAGAAGTGGTAGAAGCCACAAAGGCGACACATTCATCCATCCATGCAGTTCCTGCTAATTTGGTGGTATGAATACAGTGGAACCTCATCAGTGTGAGAAGATCTGCACTTCCATCTGTCACTTCATCCCTAGCTGTTAAGACATGTTATTTGCAAGAAGCATAAGCTCTGGAAAGAATCTCACCCACCAATTATATTTGGTTTAGTTTTTGATGAAAATGTCCCCAGCTGTCTAAACAGCCTGATGCTAACCATTCATGACTGACCGCTATTCGACCTGTCAAGATTAGCAGGGGTAGCCTGCAGTACCATTATAGAAACCCAAGAAAAATTCTGTGTTCTTAAGCACGTAAGTTAATATGGCTTGTTGAAATGTTTTTGGATATAGGGATGAATGCAGTCAGAAATAACCTGTGCCTGCTCACCCTTCACATCAGCATCCTTCTGAAGGGGTTTGTAAATCACCGGGAGGATTCTTAGAACCATACTTTCAGACATGAGATTTATTACCCAGTAGAATTCTTCTATATGCAAAGTTTTCTTTCACCTACACTCCCTCCCAAGGACATCTGATGAAGGAATGACCATTTTTATCTGCTATAGGCATTTTAAAGGAATGAAAGAGAAAAGATGTGTCAATGGAAAACCGCTATAACGTCCCTGCAGCTTTTAGAAGGGTAATGTTTGCCATGTCCCAGAAAAAAAAAAAAAAAATAAATGTAATGTTTGATTTATGTCTTTTCATGGATCATCCAGAGAGATCTGAATTAATCTGGTCTCTTTCACCATGATAGGAGATGCAAGTTATTTTTGCTAATTCTCTTAAACGTAGAAATCTAAAATAACTACTGCTGGAAACTGATCTACTCTGTTAGCTTTGTTTAGCTGCCAGTGAGGCAGCTGCTACCTTTTAGCCATCATGCAGTACTACTATAAGGCAAGTGTAAGAGTTTCAAAGAGAGTCTGGGACCATGCAAGTTCAAGCTTCAGAAATCAACTGCATAGACAATTTCTTCTGAGCCTTCTGAGGGTGCATAGAGATACAGTGTTTCAAAAGACACCGAGAACCGAATTCTTTGGAACTGATTTTTGTGTGGTCACTACTTATTCTTTCTCAATGAAAGTCATTGCTCATTGGTATACACATGGACAAGTACATAATAATGAGATTGACTCAAATGGACAGTGAAATAAATGATTGTCCTAAGTTAAAATATGGTGTTCAAGATTTCAGTTTCTAGAATAAATAAATAATCTCATTAATGTCTAAAACTATATATGAATTGATGACCAATAAAATTTTAAGATTTTAAATACATCAAGTAAACTTTTCATAGCAAACTTTCATGCATACACTAAGGTATATGTCACACCTGGACTAACATAATGGAGCTATTAAATTAATGAGTCATGTACTGAGAAGATGTACATCAAAGGCTAACACTTTCTGATATGCAAGTATGCATTAGTGTGTTACTTTAGATGCTCTGACACATGGAAAAACATCATCTGCACCAACAATATTTACTTGTAACATACACGTCTCCGGGCATGGAAAGACTGACACCTACATAAATATATGGTTTAGGCTCAAAGTTGATATAAATGATAAACTTAATCACCAGGGAGTCAGTCTAAATATTTGAATTACAATAGAAGTTATTCTAGCTTTCATGGTTAAATGAGAAGAGGGATGGAGCTGTGATAGCAGAAAAAACTAACAGGAAGATTATAAAGATAAGTAAAGCTGAGGACTCTCTCTTATTATGTTTCTTATTCTTTATTTTACTAGGCTATCCTTTACTATTCATCCTTGTTTTTCCATGACATCCAGACTATGTTAGTTATCATTCGTTTCCATTGATTTGTGAGCTAATTACAGCACTACTTTCATTTTCTCTGTATAAAGCCAGAGATGCTTTGTAATATACAGAACTGGTGTCTGATCCTCAAACTTATTTATGGAAACAGTTACAACAGTCTTGATACTTACTGATGAGTTCATTTTCACTAAGGTCATGAGTTAACAAGATCCAGGTATGTGCAGGTCTGGGATCATCCATAATAGTACATTCACTTCCACGTTGATTTGAAGTAATCAATGAATGGATAATGAAGGAAGAGCAAAAATACACAAAATGTATATATTCTTACCTTACAGAACTGAAAATTTCTAGGAATTGTTGTGATCTGCCACATTCATAGTGCACTTTAAACATTTTCATCTCCATATTTCTCAAAGCTATATTTTCCCAGTGCTAATATATGCCATGGCAGACTTGTATAGTGCAAAGAACAAAAAAAGATACAAATACTGAAGAGTCTGTGATCTATCTAATCACAGCTCAGTTGTTCATCTGTAAGGTATCACTGCTGAGCAGGGTGATGAAGGAATAGTTCATGTGTTAAGACATGTTATTGGGAACCTGAGGATCTGGCTTCTCTTCCTATTTCTTCAAAAGATTTCATGCTCAATCTTCCATATATCATTTGGGGTTTGACTCAATGCCAAAGGTAATGACAATCTTTATTTCTTGGTGCTAGAAATTCTGTGTAATGAAGATGGGTAATGGAGATTGGTAATGGTGATGAAACTGTACTAAGGAGTTGTTATGCATTTGCTGTGATGTGCTTTGATATCCCCAGATGTCAGAAAGTATAGAGATATAATGTATTTGTACTGGTGTTTTGTTTCCCATTTTATCATCTGCTAATGGACATAATCTGTTTTAAGAAAGACTTTGAAGGATAACAGTAAAGAGACTTGTAAAAAAAAACAATAATGGTAGCTCTCAGCATATTTCTAATACCTGAACCATTTCTTAGACACAGAAATATATTTATTATTCCATATTATTTATGAGAGAACTTTGACAAACAAGAAACCTGATACTCTCTTTAATTTTCAGTTTTTGGTAGTTATACCATGGTGTGATATACTGCATAGATGCCTAATATCAAATAGATACTTGAAACTACATGCTAGCATTCATCCTCTACCTACCTGCATAGGAAATAATATGATGAAAATGCATATAGTAAAAGAAAGTGGATAATGTTTATAATATTTCCAATCTATCTATTTGGAAGCTTTTTCATCTTGAGAAAATATCTGGAGTTGCTTAAAGAATCCTGAAATATATTACTCCAAAACATTCCAAACTCTTTTCAGTCCTCTGTTTCTGTAGGGCTGCAGCATAAAACTACTAAAAGATTTAATCAATTAAAAATTTATAAACAGAAATACTATCATCACCGCTCTTGTAAGGTCTCATACACAGCTGCACTTGTAAAACAAAATAAAGAAAACAGTATAAAAAGGACGAATTTATAAAGACATTTTCAAAACAAATAATGAAAAGTATTTCAATTAACATTAAATACAGTGGTTTAGTATGTCCTAAAAGTCAAATTTTCTCATTAAAAACTATTTTAAAGCAAAAATGTATTTTTTTGTTAAGAAAAATAATTGTTCGCATACACTTCAGTTATGGCATTTTCAAAAGGTCTTTACTATTACTGCAGTTAGTAGAAATATTTACTTTGATGAGAAAAATCAACATTAAGCCAGGATTAAAGGCTTCAAAAGTCCTATTCTTACTATCTGTCTCCATTCTTATAAATATTGTTTTGGAGAATCTAGTTTTCCATCCAAATAAATTAGGCTTAGGTAATTACAAGTTCCCAGTATTCTGTGAGAAATCAGAAGCAAAAAGGATATTATGAAAGGTATGAATGGCTACTGTTGACTTGCTGCATAAAATTGTCTTGCACATCGGTTTTCCGTGCATATAACTGCAGCATAAAAGACGACATTATGAGAAACCTTCTGACAAATTGATTAATAATCTTGAGCTGCTGAAGTTCAGCTGAGTGAGCAATTAAACATTCCAAACAGCAATGAACCTTCAGAGATAATTTATGATAATTTTATGCACAAGAGCTCAGTGGCTTTTTAATTTGATAGAATGTTAGTAGCATAGATTTCTAACAAGGGAGTTTCAGTGCTCCATACATCACTGAGATTACTTAAACATTTCAAATGTGGTTGATGAATGAAATTTCCTGAGATGTAAGGAGATACAGAAGGTGTCAGAAGGTTGAGATTATTCATCATATCAATTATCGAAAGTGGATGCATTGACATCATACTCCCAGATCATATTTTATAGCCATTATAAAGACAGAACAGAAATAACAGACTTGGTGGACTGCAGAACTGCCAGGATATCGAACTTCTTCACCCTTCTATTCCAGCATTGTTCTTTCACCACACAATGTTAGCACTTCCAGGAGTTTATTTGAAAGTCATCCACATTCTATAGCAAGAGAACAAGATCCTTTGGATATCATCAGCTAATATCTGGAAAATATCCCATGCAGATCAAGAGAGAAAAGGTGGGTTAAATAAAATGAGTCTAAACTCAGAAATGCAAATACTGTGTCATTTTTGCTACATTCTTCCACAAAAGTTTTTGCCTTTTTGTTGGTTTCAAAAAACTGCATAGGGCAGTACATTCAAACAAGTCAAATATTTTTAATTCCTAGAATATTTCCCCTTCATTCTTTTATTTCTTGGTTTGGACAGTAAAATATAATGTTTTAATCTTGGATTTCTGACATGCTCATGACAGTTTGAAATACACCAAGCTAAACTAATTTGTAAAGAGGATTTCTTTATTATATGAACAAAGATAAAGTCTCTGCTTTGAACAGAATATTGCTCAGATACCACATGTTTAAGACAACAGCCAGTTGGTGAATTTTATTTGGTTTTAACACTACTGTAATGATCCTGACAATAAATCATCTTTGCATATATCCAAACAGCTATCCTTTCATGCAAAGAATAGAATGTTGTTAAATGGATGCTAAAATGAGAAAAAAAATGTTGCTAGAAGCAGGAAAGCAGCCTGTTACTTAAATTCCTTCAAGTGAGAGATCACTTCATTTGTGTAAAGCACTATTAGTCAAAATGCTCCTCAAAGCTCAGGAACTATGCAGACAACTTGAAGAGTGATAGGTGGGAGAGTGGGAGTGTTTGTACAGACCTTGTGGCTTCAAATCCTACTTCAGACTAGAACAATTAGTCTCAGGTTAATGAAAATAGTTGCCTGACCCTTTGTGTGTCTTCAACGTTATTTTTTCTACAGCTGACTCCTGCACAACTCCAGATGCAGTATCAACACCTATAGACATAACTGAAAGCCTACCACCCTTGACGAATGGAGTCAACATTTGCAGCAGAATTACAGAAACTGATGAAAAAGACAAAAATAAGGATTTCTGTAAACATGCTGACAAACTTCTGAAACTCCCCCTGGACATTACTGAACAAATGCAACAGAGCTGGCAAGCAGCTTGCATTCTCACCTAAAAAGAAGAAGGTCTGAACTCATGGCATTGAGGTTCTCTTCCTCAAAAAGGTTACTTCAGCGAGTCAGGAGTTATTTTCACTCCCATCTTAATAAAGATTCTTTCCCCAGAAGGATATCAAAATAGGTCCAAACACTGGTCATGGAGGAAGAGTCACTGGAGAGAAAAAGGATGAACGAATAAAAGCCTCACAGCCTAGGAAATGACCCAAATTAAAGTTTAAAAAATTGACTTGCTTCACCTAGAGAATGGATTGAAGCAGTCCTCAGACACGAGCTGCCATAAGGACATTAGGACAATATTTTCAGTCAAGCTCTACCAGGTCAGTTGGTTAGTCTTAATGAAATTTCTCTCACTTATACAGAAAAAGCTTCAAAACTGGCCTCCTCCAAATTGTAAGCAAAGAACAGGTCTCTCTAAGACTTTCTCTGTGTGAAATTAAGGGAGACAGGTTTTTTCCTTACCTTTTTTTTTTTCTTTGAGTAAAAATGTGTTCAGAAAAGTGCACTTAAAATCTTTTTTTCTTCTAATTAAAACAAAGTTATTAAGAAAATTATATGAAAAGTGCAATTGTCATCTGAAAATGTGTTCTGACAAATTTAGAGAATAAATTAAACCTTGAATAGAGAAATGTTAGTCCTGCCTTCAGTGTAAGTGCCAATACAGCCTTACTTACAGAGACTCTTTTGATGCTTCCATAATGTGCCAATCCATGTTCAAAAGTACAATTATTTGTTTATATTCTTGAAGAGAGATATACAAAACAATTCTGAAGTCCTATTTTACTAATATATGGTAATGAAAATGAAATATTCATAATATGGTCAACTGTATTATAGGTATGAAAAGCAGTGCATACCTAAAACTTGTACCTATAATACTCTCTTTAAAGCAATATTATAGTTTAGTTTTGGCAGCTATGCTTGTTATTTGTCAGGCAAAGCTGGCAACAACTCAAAGTCATGGGAACATTGGAAAACTCCAGCAGCCTTTTCTTAGGCAAGATGTCTATTAAATACAAGATTTAACCTACCTTTTAAAAGGATAAAAATGGGTGACCTGGACGAATGGAGTATCTCAAACTTCCTCCAAAATACGATAGTCTTCTTGTTTGTACTCTTTAATGTTTTGATTTCCCATTCATTGCTGAAGCTGTAATGAGCACCAGCTATTACACGGTGGCTCAGCTCCAACATAAATCACTTAACCTCCCCCTCTTTATTGATTTATATTAGCATTTATAGATGCCACTCATTGTCTTTATAGAGCCTGGGATCTCACAGTAATTAAGTTCAAGTTTAAAATAAACAATGACATCCAATATGGGTTGTTGAAATATACTACAAGGTTTCTTGCCTAATGCCTACATTCAGTTTAGACCTCATCTCATTGCCATTCTAAAAATTCTAACTAGACAAAGCAAATGAAACCAAACAAATAATCACAGCAAAAAAGAACAGCAGGGAAGGCATGTATTCAGTCTTGAAATTACTACGGAATGGGTTTCTCAAAATTATAGTGTCAATATTGTATCAGACGTCACTCTTTCTTTTGCAGTAGTATTGTATGTAAGCCTATCTAGCTCAGTAGTATCTTTCTCCTGGAAATCATAACGGGAGAATATTATATTATACTGTTTGATCTCTAAGTCCTTTAATGCTCTTGGATTTGTACAGTAAGTTATTTTCTTTTTCTGCCAGGAGACAAATTTATCATTTACTTACAGTACATTCACATAATTCTCATAATTCTGTACAGTGGCTTAAATATGAGAAAACTTTTTTCCAAGCCATGAATGCCAACCTCTACATGATGCAGGAACAGAAACCATAAATCAAGCCTGAATCCTAAACCTTAGCAGTGATTTCTGTCAAGTAACATACGGAAGCCACAGTGGAAATACCAAGGGGAAGAGATTCCCATTTTAGCCCACAGTGCTGTTATGACTTGTCAACTTCCCTGCAGCCCCACTCTTTTCATGGGTCTCATATCTTTTGTTCTCCACATAGCCCTAACCCTATGCTCAACACCAAGTGTGGACACAGTATATGATTTCCTATGACATATTCCTGATGTGAGGGAAAAGAAAAATAAATGGATATTGGTAACAAGACTTCTATTAGGGTCACTTGTTTCAGGATCAAGTCCTAAATAGCAAAATTTTAATAAAAAAAAAAAAGGTGCAAGCGGGGTTTTTGTTTCATTTGGGATGCCTGACAGACCAGTCAAGAAGAAAAAAAGTGGCATCCAGAAGAAAAAAAAAAGTCAAACTATTTCTCATGTGTTAGTAAACAGATTGTTTTTAGAACAGATGTTATAGAGGATGAAGGGAGAAATTGTATAATGGACTTACAGAAAGAAAAACAGTAAAGGGATGTTGATAACTTCATTAGGTCCCTGCTATGAGAATCTGAGACATAGACTGATGTTCACAGGCAAATTTCAGAAATATTTAATTACTACACACAAATTCAGACCTCACTTTCAGAAAAGACAGTGACACCAGCATAGACATACACAGAGATATCTGTTAGTAATATACCAGTTATTTTTCATAGTGTGTTTCTACTGTTGGACTCCTACTGCCTGCCTTCAGTTGACATCTCAGTGTGAGCTGTACAAGCTGAGAGTCAGACCCCCAAAAGGTACCTGTTCAGAAAACATACATGAAGGGGTTACCTTGGTAACAGACACACGTGAAAGCTCTCAGAAGAGCTTTTTTCTCACTTATTATTTTTTTCTGCTCTGTGCTGGTTCATATGCATATGTAGGTTCACAGTCACAGTCACAGTCACAGTATGCTAGAGATTGAAAGGGACCTCAAAAGATCATCTAGACCAATCCCCCTGCCGGAGCAGGAACACCTAGATAATGTTACACAGGAATGTGTCCAGGCGGGTTTTGAATGTCTCCAGGGAAGGAGAGTCCACAACCTCCCTGGGCAGCCTGTTCCAGTGTTCCGTCACCCTCACTGAGAAGAAGTGAGGCTACAAACTTTATCAATCAAACTACAGCTGCACAGCTTCAACACTGACTCTTACTCTTTCCTGCTTTCCAGTAGCTTATGATGAAGATTTGCTGATGAATGGAGAGACTGGTATCTGGCAAGGCATGCTGCTCCACTAGGAATACACAAATCTCTGCTGAAACTTTACAGATCATTTACATGAACTTTTGAAGTAGGAAGAAGGTTTATATTACAGGTGAAGAGATGCCTATACACAATTGCTCGTGGAGAACTGCTGAAGTGAGAAAAGCCAAATTGAATCTTCCCAAATTTTTTAATTAATATACATGTACATGCATGCTTAATATACACATACATACTAGAACTCACATTATTAGTTAGAGTTGAAATGCACTCCTGTTTCACAGGCACAGAGAATGATCCCAAACATGTAATATGCCATGTTACTTGAAGTCTCCATATTTGGGAATTAGTCTCACTTGGAACCAGTTCTGAATATTATAAATTGCTGCCTTATGACAGTAAAAATTTATAACTTATCTGCAAATACCATGTAAGCAGCCTGTATTAAAGAGTGCATTTTATATCTTATCATGTATTAGTATTAGTGTAATCAGGCATTATAAGGTAGAAGAAATATGTTCATTATGCCCCATAAGAAATATGTTCATTATGCCCCATCAAAAGTCCAATTAGATACAAGTTTGGAAGGCCACTTTTTAATTTAGGCCTCTTACAGTTCTTCCAACTTATCTCATGCTAGATTGGTTGGACATGATTATGTTCTTCATCACATTTTACACATAGCTAATTTATTTTCACTAGCATAATAATTGATCTAGAAGGAAATCTAAAGGCCACTGCATTTATTTGGTGATGTTATCAGTATCTTCAGTGAGTGAACAATCAGTTTACATGATACATATTCCCTCTGCTTCCTCCCCTTAGTAGAAATAATACCTTCAGACAATAGTGGCCTTTTCAGCTTTGGAAGGGACTTGTATTTATATTTAAAAAACAGAATCAGAAGCCTTCACCTCTGGGCTGCTGATACTCGTAGCTGATGGTGCTAAGTAGACCTCATCCTATGTGGGACATAAAAACATTATCTCCCACGAATTCTCATATAAGACCACTGAGGGTGTAAACCAAGACCTGTTGTATTAAAGGAAAGTATCCTGCATTTTAGCTGGCTTTGACAGAGGTTTTCTACTGCAGTTTCTAATGAGTCATTGCACTAAACAGGATGTATTTGTTCTTTCCTGTCAGTACTGGTGAAAACATAGAAAAAGGAATACTATCTTTCTTATAAGTGAATATTATTTTAATGGAAAATATCAGAAATGGAAAACTGTTTTTTTAAAGTACTTGAGCTTGACATAGCAAGTATTTGATAGAGCTGTTCTGAAACTATTCACTTCATTTTGAATTCTTAGTTCTCTCCCTGTCTCCTTCTGTATCATTTTTTTTTTTTTAAATATTTACTATGAAGTTGTAAACCTGGCCTCTACAATGTTTTATTTTCCAGCACAATAATCATGCTAATGTACTCTAAGGCTAAATGTGAAGGATAGGTAATAATTTATCAGTGTTTCAAGCAGAATTCAGGGACATTTCAAAATGTTTTTTGTGATCTGGGCTTCCAACTTTAAAATGTGATGTATAATTGACATTTTGATACTTCGAGGCCATGGTGTATTCTCACACTTCTATGAAAAAAAAACCAACTTGCTGACACAATCAGGAAACAGATGGTGACAAAGATCTTGTATTTAATATGCCAATCATTATGCTTTACTTGCATATTATCATCTCATTCATGAGGCCACTATATGAAGGAATTTTGCTATGCCTCTGCAAATCAATCAAGAAGTCTTTTAATTTTTTTTAAAATATAATTTAGGTCCTTGTTATCCTTTCTGTTTCATTATATTTGGGGTGGGGTGTTTATGTAAATTTATTACACACGAAAAAATGCTTTGACAATCCCATGGCTAGAATAGATGTCAGTAATGAAATATTCACTATAGATAGATTCAATAGAGACCAAGAAATGACTTGGCAACTGAAGTACCCACATTTTCCATACTTTGCTGTGGTCCTTAATCCAAAGGCAGTGACAGAGTAAGACACTATGAAAGATGATGTCGAGTAGGAGAATAGATTTTATAATGTGGCCTC